CAGAGGCTGGTTGCAAGTGAGGTCAAGACAAATCCAAAGGCGTTTTACCGCTATGCAAAGTCGAAATTAAAAATGCGAGTAGGAGTATCAGACCTGAGGCTTGAAGATGGTAGTTACGCAGATTCTGACTAGGATATAGCCGAGGCATTGAACAGCTTCTTTTCCTCGGTGTTCATAGGAGAGGATGCGATTAACCTTCCTGCGTTTGGGGACAAACGGTTCGACACAGCACTGACCCACATTATGTTCACAGAAGAGGGTATTAGAAATAAACTGTCAAAGCTGAAGGTCCATAAGAGTCCTGGCCCTGACATTGTGCATCCCAGAGTGCTAAGAGAGTTGTGCAACAAGCTTGCCGAGCCCCTAAAGATCCTGTTTTGTAAATGCCTGGATGAACAAAAGGTCTCCAGTGATTGGAATGTGGTTTATGCGAGTCCTATACTCAAAAAGGGTGATCGTCACTCCACGAACAACTATAGAGGGGTGAGCCTGACCAGCATAATATGTAAAATACTTGAGAGTATCAGAGATGCCGTGATGGAACATCTACTGCGAAACAACCTTGTAGAGGATTGCCAACATGGTTTTATGCCGGGGCGTTCCTGCTTAACACAATTGCTCAAAGTATTGGATATTTGGACCCATATTCTGGAACGGGGTGGTAATATCGATAACATATACCTAGATTTTGCCAAGGCTTTCAACAGTGTACCCCACGAAAGGCTGAAAATCAACTTGGAAGGGTACGGTATTACGGTATTCGGGGAAATATCCTAGAGTGGATAGAAGACTTTCTATATGACTGCAAGCAGTGTGTGGTGATTAATGGCACTAAATCATCATCTGTACCTGTCACAAAAGGGGGTACCACAGGGCAGTGTAGGGCCCGCTGTCGTGTATTTATTTCATAAATAACATGCCTGACGTTGTACACTCCTCCATACAAATGTTGCTGATGACGCCAAGTTATTTCAGGAAATCAAGTACCATGCAAACTGTGAAGAGCTGCAGAAGGATCTCTGTCAGCTCCAAAAAAGGTCGAAGAAATGGCTACTGAGATTCAAAGTCACGAAGTGTAAGAGGATGCACCTGGGGCGTACCAACGGTGAGGAGGCATATCAAATGTCCCAACGGGATGAAGAAACTGCACTATTTGAGACTGAATGTGAGAAGGACCTAGGTGTGTATGTTGACAATGAGCTGAAGTTCTCGGGCCATTGCGAAAAGAAGGTAAATCAGGCCTTTGGGTGGCCAATCACAGCAATGACCACAACTCCATTAAAAAAAAAATTTGTCTTATGACAAAGATTTTGTGGTTGTAGGCCTCTTGACCTGGGCTGTACCTCCAACTCAGTGGAGATTGAGTTTTAAAAAATACAATCGCATCTAGCATTAAAAAATCCTTTATCGGTTTACACTTTCACATCACTAAGACGATTCCGATGATCTCATGTAATCACTGTCAAATTGTTGCCGCTCATCAACGAAGGCCCGAGTTTTAATCAGGCTAACTACAGTCCTAGAATTAGCTTCCTGATCCATACTAAATAAATTAGGACAACTCATCCTTGACCTATGTTGTATCTTATGTCACCAATCAGATACATTTTTACATCTTAATTTATAAGAAATATTCAACATACCTTTGAGATTCCATCACCTTGAATCACACAATCAGATACAACCTTGCATCTTAACTTAGGAGAAATATTCAACATACTTTACATTTGAGACTATAGACCAGAGCTAAAACGTGAAGACATCTTGGTGCACAAGTGACGGCTTCTGCCCAGCCAACACCAGCAATGGTTGTGTGTGTGTTGGGTCATGCTCGACCTTATGCCTTCCTCCAACCTGTTGAGAGAAGAGATTGTGAATTTTCTGGTACAATGATGGTGACTTTCAACTTTTAATGATCTCATTATGTATCTAAGTCAGAGTAGTTTAGGGTTTTTTATTTATTTTTTCTATGTGTGTGAGTGTGAGAAAGATAAACAAAGAGAGAGAGATAGAGCGTCAAAATACCCAAAACATGATATAAGCACAACATACAGCATCAACCGTGCACGACCCAAGACACACAGCATGATATGTGATACCTGGAAGACACCCAAGGCTATAGCCTTGGCTGCCTCAAACACCACAAGAAAGACACCCAAGGCTATAGCCTTGGGTGTCCCAAACACCACAAGAAAGACACCCAAGGCTATAGCCTTGGCTGCCTCAAACACCACAAGAAAGACACCCAAGGCTATAGCCTTGGGTGTCCCAAACACCACAAGAAAGACACCCAAGGCTATAGCCTTGGCTGCCTCAAACACCACAAGAAAGACACCCAAGGCTATAGCCTTGGATGCCTCAAACACCACAAGAAAGACACCCAAGGCTATAGCCTTGGGTGTCCCAAACACCACAAGAAAGACACCCAAGGCTATAGCCTTGGATGCCTCAAACACCACAAGAAAGACACCCAAGGCTATAGCCTTGGGTGTCCCAAACACCACAAGAAAGACACCCAAGGCTATAGCCTTGGATGCCTCAAACACCTAAAAGAAGACACCCAAGGCTATAGCCTTGGGTGTCCCAAACACCACAAGAAAGACACCCAAGGCTATAGCCTTGGGTGCCTCAAACACTCAAGGCTATAGCATTGGGTGTCTTTTTTGGGGTGTTTGAAGCACTCAAGGTTATATTCACACAAGTAAAATAGCCTATGGTGTTAGTAATTCCCTGATGTACTGTACAGTAAGTCATCACACTAACTTGGTACTCAATAACAAAGGTTATTTACCATTGTTCATGCTATAGTTACTTATGTTTAAAGAGTTTTCTTTGCTGAAGGCATCAAAGCAAATTACATTGGTAAGTGACTATACATGACTGAAGAAAAACAATACAATAACATTATGTTCATAAACCATTAAAATACATATACAAAAAATCGCCCATTCTTTTCTCCAATTTCCTGTCCATTTGTTCACGTTGGACTTCACTATGTCCATTCCAGTTGATAAAGGAGGAAGGCAATGATAAGAAAAAAAATGGGGAGTCCCTGAACCTGGCTGATGCCAGGTCCGAGGGCCAGGGTTCTCCCCCAAGAGGATCCTGACTCCTGGAACCACTGGACAAACAAGCATGCTGGTCCAAAAACATCCTTCCCAGAATAGACTTCTGACCCCGTCCTAAAGGTCGGGGAAAGATGGTCAGATTCAGTTGATTCCAGTTGATAGGTGACTCTCTTTATGGTTGGGTTCTGATGAAGTGAAACCTGAACCTAGGATGTGGAAGAAATTTAAAAAATAATCCAGTGCAGATTAAGTGGCACAAATCCTTCCTTCACTTGTATAAAACTTCAGTCTATCCTAAGGTGTTTCCTCACTCTTCTTCTGCTACAGTGTCATGATCGTGATGACGTCTAACCTAAAAACCTTAAGGATTCATATTACGCTCAAACATCTACAAAACCTTCTGAGTCCCCCAGTGGAAACGTCCCCCGTTTTCTCTGTTTCCTTGATGACGTCATCGAGAGGCCGTCTTTGTCTAAAGGGAACTTTGAATATAATCTGCGGATTTCGTAGCAAGACGCTGTATGTTGGGACCTGTTGCCATCCAACCCTTTGTAATCAATTTAATTTTTGCTTTTGATAGCTCAGTCAGAGCATTGTTAGTGAAGATAATAGTAGGGAATGAAACTGAGTTCATAGTCTCAGTTTCAACGTCAGAGTGCACAGTAAAGTAATTCATCGAAATAGAAGTAGGTGGAGTCCCTGACCTAGCTTGAGTGAGGGTGCTGCGGGCATTTCAACCATTAGTAAGTGCTCGCCCCTTCACCCATACAGGTAGGTCATTCCACTCTGTGTTGTGATTTGCCCTTCTTTAAGCGATTTGAGCCAATTAATAGTTGATTGTGCAAGTGTTACAGTAACGCAGTTGATATGCTCTGAGTGAAGTAATGTTTACATCTTTAACGTCCCCTGAAACGTGATGTCGTTGTCACAGTTAGTAAGTGCATGCCCCTTCACCCATACAGGTCCCTAACGCAGCCTAGGCCGTGTCTGTAGGGTGGATGTTGTATCCACTATGTCTGGAGAGATGTCCGAGGTCCAGTAGGATCAGTTATCTTCGTGAGATCCGACCGTCAGACACTTCAGACTACCTATGGCCCCCATAGCTGGCCAGTCTGACCCTAACGCTCGGCCCGCGAGGTGACCCCGGATCACCAAGCCCCACACAACTACCAGCCCCATCATTGGTGGATGAGTGTCTAACTCAGTAGGGCTATGGTGTGGTTGTGTTATTCCACTGGGATCTTCAGAGTTCGTTGGAAAGTACCCCATGGTGGCAGGACCCCCATGGCGGTTGCTTGAGTATCACTCCTGACTACTGAGTGTTGTAGTGGCAGTTGTCCCTGGTCTTTATGGTGCTAAGTTACTATAAGAGTTTATGTGTTATTGAGTATGTCCACCCAGTAGTGGTGTGAGTGTTATTGAGTACGTCCACCCAGTAGTGGTGTGAGTGTTATTGAGTATGTCCACCCAGTAGTGGTGTGAGTGTTATTGAGTATGTCCACCCAGTAGTGGTGTGAGTGTTATTGAGTATGTCCACCCAGTAGTGGTGTGAGTGTTATTGAGTATGTCCACCCAGTAGTGGTGTGAGTGTTATTGAGTATGTCCACCCAGTAGTGGTGTGAGTGTTATTGAGTATGTCCACCCAGTAGTGGTGTGAGTGTTATTGAGTATGTCCACCCAGTAGTGGTGTGAGTGTTATTGAGTATGTCCAGTAGTGGTGTGAGTGTTGAGTATTCCACCGTAGTGGTGTGAGTGTTATTGAGTATGTCCGCAGTAATTGAATTGTGAGTGTTATTAAGGAGTATATCTTTGATAGTGGTGTGGAGTGTTATTAGTCGTCCACCCAGTAATTGAATTGTGAGTGTTATTAGTGTCACGGTAATTGGTGTAAGGTGTTGTGATGAGTATGTCACCCAGTAGTGGTGTAGGTGTTATTGGTGTCACCCAGTGATGGTGGTGGCAGGTGTTATTGGGTATGTCACTTGTTAGTGGTGTGAGTGTTGTATTAGTCGATCCACAGTAGTGGTGTAGTCGTCCACCCAGTAGTGGTGTGAGTGTTATTGAGTATGTCCATCCAGTACTGGTGTGAGTGTTATTGAGTATGTGCACCCAGTAGTGGTGTGAGTGTTATTGAGTATGTCCACCCAGTAGTGGTGTGAGCGTTATTGAGTATGTCCACCCAGTAGTGGTGTGAGTGTTATTGAGTATGTCCACCCAGTAGTGGTGTGAGTGTTATTGAGTATGTCCAAGCAGTAGTGGTGTGAGTGTTATTGAGTATGTCCACCCAGTACTGGTGTGAGTGTTATTGAGTATGTGCACCCAGTAGTGGTGTGAGTGTTATTGAGTATGTCCACCCAGTAGTGGTGTGAGTGTTATTGAGTATGTCCACCCAGTAGTGGTGTGAGTGTTATTGAGTATGTCCACCCAGTAGTGGTGTGAGTATGTCCACCCAGTAGTGGTGTGAGTATGTTGAGCCTGAGGGCATAGTACCAGGTTTCGTCTGTTGGTACATATATTCTTTCTCCTATCTCCATTTTAATGTTTAAATAAATATTGTATTTGTATATTGTGTCTATTATTTACCTACAGTATCTACCGTTATTTCTTCCCTATTACTTGATACTATCATTACATGTACCCACGAGCCTCCTCTCGTCACACTACCAATGATTATAAGCAAGAGGCACAGGCCCTTATAACAGTACAGTAAAGTCTTATGTTCTAGTCAAGTTTCTCCCACATATACATTACTTGAGTATAGTTTTAATTCATATCACCAGCCTTCCCACCCTCACTGTAATACTCTTCAATTATGTCTCCAGCAGTCTTCCCTCTCAATTAACTTTTGTCCACTCTTCCCTCACTCTGACCATAACATGGCATACAGCTCACAGGTGGGGAAAGTTGATAATCTCCCAGTAATTTAAACAGATGCAAAGAAAAATATCTAAATCAATTCTATCAATTCTATCAGGCATTTGTATATTTAAAGCAGCATATATAGCGAAAGGTTCTGCTCTTTCTGTAGCTACATAAAAAAAGGATCTTGGGGTAGACAGGCAAGCCCAGGATAAAGGAGCTTACTGGTAAGGTTAACCTACCATAAGCGCATACTGCACCAGGTACTATCATTCACTGTAAATGACCCATGGAAATGCATAAATTGTAACCCCTCAAAAATATTATGCATGTATAGTTTGACCCCAATTTTTTACATAAAAATTTGATCATTAAGACTTGAACTATACTTTAAGATACAGTAAACGGTAATTTCATGAAGTTACTTTGTGATTTTATCTCTTACATAATTACTGAAGTAATATCCTCACTTTAGTAAAGTTATTAACACCACAGTGTTAACTCTCACTACTGTGTCATGGGAAAATAGGCAGACGTTCTGGAACGTCACCCGGGGCTTAAGGGTTAAGACATTTTGGGTTAGTATTTTCATTATAGAAAAGTATCTCGGCTTTTTTAATGGAAGTCTATGGGAAAATTTATCTGATTTACTTAAGGTTTTTCAGGAACAGAACTCTCTTATAAACTGGGGAATGCCTGTAGAACCATCCTAATATTCAAAATACCAGAAAATAGTAATTAATTACCATCTAGTCCTTTAGGTCCAGTTAACTTCAGATCTCATTCACTTGCACGTCCAGCCCACTTTAGTCTAGTTCACATCAGGTCCAGCTCAATTCAGATCCACTTTAAACAGTGATGGAGAAAGTACCTGGAAGTATTACTTAAAATAAAGTACAGTACTACACTGTTGCTTTGTACAAATTAAAATTTGTATAAAGTAGCTTTCTTCAAAACTACTTAAACAAAACAAAAGTTTAATTAACTGAAGTGAAACACACAAGTAGAAAAAGTAAAAAAGAAAGTAGTATTTGTAAGGTATCAAAATTGATAAACAATGATTTATGCAAAGCTTAAAGTTATTAATATAATTAAGAGAGAAAATATGAGACTGAGCGGCATTATGTATTTACAATCAACTTTGGGTTAAAATTTTTTTGTTTTTCTGTAATAACTAATCTTCATGTTTCTTGTGGCACTCCTGAGCTGGAATATCAGTTCAGCACAGGTGTTAAAATGATTTTATTCTTTTACTTTATATACAGGTAACTCGTTTTACGTGCGTTTGATTTAAGCGTTTTTGGAACAACGCGATTGTTCAGTTAATATCAAAAGCTAATTTAAACACACCTATTTTTTAAATAACGCGCTCAAGACAGTTTAAATTTGCATCGTGTATTCACCTGGTCGTCTGGCAGTGGAGTCGCGTGTGATGCCTGGTGAGGTACTTGTAAGTTATGACTATAAAGTTGCAGTCATATCAACATCAACAATTTTATATTAATAATAATAATAATTACAATAATGTAACAATAAAGATAATTACTTCTAATGGTGAAGATAATGAAGTATTCTGTACAAAAACTTTGACCACGTCCAGCAAGCTTCCCGGGTATCACTTTCTCAGTTCACACCAGCACTACTACTTCTCTGTGCTCCAATTTGCATTGTGTTTATCACGTACCTTTTTAGTGTTAAACGCCGTTTCCCCCATTGACCATGTCTGTAAAACACCCATCTGCCTCTGGGACGCCCTAAAGCTAAAAAGGCACGAAAAACAATCACAATGGACGTGAAATTAAATGTGATCACCGGCCTTCAGAGAGGAGTATGTGTGTGTTGGCAGCATGCTTGGTTTAAGTGAGAGCACTGTTCGTACCCTGTGTGGTATATGATGGTTCCCTTAACCTGTACCATTTACATGTATGCTTATGGGAAATTTATGTTTAATTTAAGAAGTTTTTAATTAAGCGGTGGTTTTCAAGAACGTGACCCCCGCGTAAAACGAGAGGTGGGTGTACTCTAAACATAAATACTTTGACACTAATATACAAACACAAAAAGACCAAGTTAGGGACTTAATTACAGGTACTCCACCGATTTTCCGGCAACGGATGGTCCGGCACCTCTTTTAACCCGGACAAAATTCCCGCGACCTCCACATTAGTTTACTGGGCTACCCACAGATGGCATTACGTGTTAACCGCGCTCGCTTTGTTTATTCTGCAGTTGCTGGTGGTAGCTTCTTGATTTTGTGTAATTCTCAGCTTGTTTTGGACATATTTAACCCCAGCTATGGCTTCAAAGCCAAGTACAAGTGTCAGTGGTGGTGTAAAGCGTAAACACCAGTCCACATCGATACAAGATAAGGTGGAACTCTTGAGAAAACTCGACCGTAGTGTTTCGGTGCGACGGGTGTGTGATCAGTATGGTATTGGTTCGTCAACTGTGTGTGATATAAAGAAGCAAAGAGAAAAAGTAACGAGATTCTATGCAGAAAGTGGTTCCAAGAAGCAAGTGTGCATCAGAAAAACATTGAAAGACAGTAAGAGTACTGAACATGATAGAGTGATGAGTTTCTAGCAGCCATGGTGCTTTAAAAATACCGGGGGGGAAGGGGTGTATACCAAGTGGCTCAAAGGTGTACTGCTTAATTATTATATATGACCTCTGTTAATCCGGCAAAACGGATGGTCCGGAAAGGCTCAGGAACCAAAGGTGCCGGAAAATTGGTGGTGTACCTGTATTACTAGTGTAGAAGATAAAGAACAAGATACAGTAAACTAAAGCAATAAATAAGACAACTCCAACACAGTGATAACGTGGCACCTGGGGCTGACTAACATAACATGTCACGAGAACAATTGCAAATAAACAAACACAAAGACAATCGCATTATAAAGAACCTGAGGTGGAGGAGGGAAGGAGAGACAGTGAGAAATATGGGACTTTATACTGTATAGGAGTTGCACATCACAAGTGTAGCTTTAAGTAATACTAGTAACCCCGAGAGAACAAAATCCTGAATGAAACAAGAATGACACAAGTCTAGTTAATAAGACTGGACTTAAATGCATAGGTGGACACAGAGCAGCCAGTCATCCTGGGGTTGAGAAGATGTGTTTACCAGGTTATCACTCACCATCCAGAAAGGACAGGTGGTGGTGTACTACTGTGTCATGGAGCACCTGACAATAACCAGTAATGATGAGCGAATGAAATTAAATCATCCAAATCTACTTGGTGTGAACTAATAGCAGAGAACAAAAAGCAAGGTGACAGTAGGTGTGTGTTATAAGGCTGACTCAACCTCACAGGGAGAAGTGGCCAGACTCCAATGTCATCCAGAACAGACAGTAGACTGGGTGACTCTTACCATACAAGCTGAGGAGCATACCTTGACCTTCAAGACACAACACATGAAGGAACCTACTAGAGAAAAAACATTCTGGATATACTCTTGACAACAGAGGTAGCAATGGTGGACAAAGTCCACATCAGGGAAAAACTAACTCTGGCCCACAATCACCTGACCCTTGCTTTATGTCAACTCACTATATACACAAACTCTTGAGAAAATTCTGAAGGACACAATCTTCCAACACCTGACCGAGTAGTCTGATCAATGTATCACACGGTTCCATAGAGAATATCCTGTTTGACACACTTATTCAATTTCCTTGAAATGGTATGACATTACATGGACCAAGGTCTACCAGTGGATGAGTAGTACAGTCACTGTCAAAATTTTGATACCCGTGGTGAAACGGAGTCTCTGAACTGACTTATCCTGACTGTTTTCTGATGCAAGTGTGCTGTTTTATCTTATTTGGGGTCAAGCAAACCTTTGATCTCGGGCGTAATACGTGGACTTATCTAGGGCACTTGACAAAGTCCCACATTCACAGGTAGTCTCTAAAATCCAGCCACATAGAACCATAGGCCAAATTTTGAAGTGCATTAACAACAGGTTCAATGACAAGACACAAAGGGTGGTCATAAATGGAGTACATTCAGAATGGAAAACATTTCTCAGTAGTATAGCACAAAGTTTTATTCTTGAATCCAACCTGTTGAGATCTACATAAATGACAGATGAAATTATATCAAGACATATTGTTAGGTTTGTGGATGACATGAAGATATTTGGGAAGATTGCAAGTCAAGACGATGTTGCAACCATGCAAAAAGATCTGCACAAGCTGTTCAAATGGTCTTTAGACTAGCAAAAGACCTTTAACAACACAAAATGCAAGACTCTGCATGTAGGATGCAATAACCTAAATCACCACCATTCTGTTAGTAACACTTTCCTGGATACTGTCGATAAGGAGAAAGATATTGGTGTTGTCATAGATCAGTCACTGATGGAGGCAGAACAAGTGGAGGCAATAGTGACAAAAAAAAAAATCAAGATTTGGGAATTACAATATAAAGCATAGCCTTCAAATACAAAGATATGAAAATGCTCCTTTAACTGTACAGACCTCAAGTATGTCCCAGTCTGGATTACAGAATACAGGGCATGTAAACACTACCTTCAAAAACACCCAACATCATTAGAAAAGGTGCAACATGGTGACTAAAATAATTCCTGAACTATGTCATCTCGGGTATCCAAATAAACTGAGGGCCTGAGGACTAACAACCCTTCAGACAAGACACAATAAGGCACAACTCATACACATTCAAAATTTTAAAAGGGATAGAAAACATGAATCCCGGCCATTCTTTTTAGATTTGACGCACCAATACAATGGAGCATGACTCTAAGCTTACAAAATTATCATGCAGAATGACAACGAAATGTTTCTTCACACAGAGACTAGTAAACCAATCAGCAGGAACAGACAGTACTGTGCTTTAAAATAGCCCTAGACAAGACTATCAACAACAAAGGAGGAATCCTACAGAGACCTTTCCTCACCATTCTCGGTCCAGAACTGTTTTTGTTGTACATAATCGACATAGTCCACGCCAGCACACTCATAAAATACAACTTATTTGCAGACGATAGTAATTTCTATGCCAGCAACTCAGACCTCCATTCCTTGATGAGAACTATGAACACTGATTTGACTAAAGTCAGGACCTGGGTAATATGTAATAAACTGACCTTAAACCTTGAGAAAACCCACTATACGATCTTTCACAGGAGGAAAAACTTACCCCCAGACTTGGACCCCCTGTACCTTGGTAATACAGTCCTCAAACGCGAACAAAATACTAAATTCCTCGGAGTTATTGTTGATGAGAAAATTGACTGGAGAAACCACATACAAGCCATTCACAGTAAAGTCAATAAACAGTGCGGTTTCATGTATCACACTCGACAGTCACTCACTCTCACAGTAATGAAAGAAATCTATCATGATCTTGTTTACCAACACCTGATACACTGTCACACACTATAGGGGGTTTCTGGCTCTTCAAAAACACAATCTCTGGTTACTGCACAAAAGAGAGTTGTACGGACAATGACCTACTTGAAAAAACAGATCACGCAAACGAAAAATTTGCTAAATTGAAAATGTTAAAATTCAAAGATATTAACACCTACTGCTGTGCCCTCTTTGTTTACAAATCTATCAATCACTTGCTTGACAGTAATTATTTCCAGTTCCGAAATAATCAGAGATACAACTTAAGGCACCCAGAGCTACTAAGACCACCCCCCATGCGCTCCTCTCAGTCCCAGACCTCCATAAAATATCACGGTGTGAAAGAACTTACCCCCACCCATCCGAGCAAAGACTACACTCCCTTCCTTTAAATCATCTCTTAAAAATATATACAATATTGTCAAAGTATTAATATTTCTTGTAATACCTACTACAGCTCCTCCCCGACTTACGACCTGCCTCAGTCGTTCCAAAATGTTGTCAAATTACGTTTTTTCAAGTCCCAACGTCAGTACACAGGCAAAAATTTTTTTTGTAATTCACTTTAAAATGGCTGACAAGCTCATTTGAGTTTTGTGGTGTTGAGAAGAGAATGAGACACCCATTTTAGATTTTCTATGTACAGTCGGCCTTTAACATTCGCGAGGGTTAGGTAACAGAGATACCCGTGAATGTTAAAAATCCATATACTATTGCTGCCCCCCCCCCCTAAATAACCCCTGGCCCCCCCATGTCCTTATTTACCGTATATACCTGTGTGTGTAGTTCGAGTTTTTAAGACCAAATTATTTGGCAAAAATTGGGGGTCGACCTCTAAACGGGTAATAGTTTCGTTAGGTTGAAAAATATTTACCAGTAACTACCAGTAAACAATGGAAACGATGCACCAATACACCACCAGCTGTGAGTGTCGGTACAGTTGCCAGGGCAGATCTCTTGCGAGCCCAAAGTAGCCAAATCCATGGTATGGTAGCACAGGACGATGTAAAACAAAGTATTCATTTATTAAAGTTAATTTATAGATACTGGACATAAATTTTTGTTCATTACATTTGAAACATCAATCTTTGTTAATTAAATTTGAAACAAGAGAAAACTACGATACTGGATTTTCATTAAAATATTACCTAACAAGTATATTTTACCAAAACTGTGACTGAATGAATATATTCTCAGAAATAAATATGGAAATGTAATATTTTTGCTGGAATGACGTACATATTATAGTGGGAAGTGGGATAAAATCATGACGAAAGACTTTCGCTTTCTTTCGTTGTTCAAAATATTTTACCGTAATCGCTTTTCAAATGGTTTTCAGTTAAAAAACTGTTGTACTCGTACTGTATTACAATAATATTCTATCCTATCATTAACCTTATAATCCCACAACTGAAAACCATTCGAAAAGCGATTCCGGTAACAACTTTTGAACGAAAGAAAGCGAAAGTCATTGCTTTCGTCACTTTCCACTGTAATACGTACATCATTTCAGCAAAAATATTACATTTCCATGTTCTCAGAAATAAATGGTAGTTTTGTTGAAACGTAATGTACAGTATTTAACATTAAAATGCAAAAATAGCTATAAAAACAATTAATACACCCGTAATGTACTGGCTGGCATCTCCACTTATCCCTGCTCCCGCCAGTCACCTCCTCCCGGCTCTATCCCTCCGCCTCCTCCACATCGTCACTACTGTTGTATTACAATAATATTCTATCCTAATTGACTTGAATAAATACTACAATACCATATTTCTGAATATTTTCATTAAAATCCATCCAAATCATTTTCCTTGCCATCGGCAGCACCAAACAGCTTCTCCCAGTCCTCTCCTTGAACAGGGCTAGAGGGTACGTGTTTTTCGAATCGTTTTCAATTAAAAAAATGTTACATCACACGTATATTTTACGTAAACTGCGCCTGATTGAATATATTCTTGGAAATAAATAGTAATTTTGCTGAAACGTGATGTATTTCAATGTAAAATAGGATAAAATACATGACGAAAACAAAAGACTTCACCTAACCTTCCAATGTTCAAGAGATGTTACTCGTTTTTTTAATAGTTTTCGGTTAAAATACTGTTATATTACAATGATATTATATTCATACTGTGCTTGATATAATACATTCACAGAAATGTAATATTTTTGCAACTACAATGCTGATGTCAACACAAGTGTGGTTACAGCGAGACTGACTAAGTGAGGGAGAGCTATGCGTGTGTGTGTGAGGTTGCAGGAGCGGGCGGTGTCCCGTGTTCGGTACCGCGAGCGAGTTGAATGGCGCGCGATTTGAATGTACTTCAATTACTTCAATGTACAGAATATTCCTCTGGCGGGGCAATCCGCGTATTTGCGAATCCGTGAATGCTAAACCCGCGTATGTGAAGGGCCAACTGTATTATTTAAGCATTTTAGACTTACGACCTGGATTTGGGTTCGTAACCCCGTCTAAGTCGGGGAGGAGCTGTATATTTACAATACCAGCTTTTATTGTACCATCAAAACCGTTTTATCGGAAATTATCATTGCAATAGACATACAGCCACTCCTCGACTTATGACGGGGTTAGGAAACCAAATCCAGGTTCTAAGTAAAAAATGCGAAGATGATACATAGAAAATCTAAAATGGGTGTCTCTTTTTCTTCTCAGCACCACAAAACTCTCACTTTAAAGCATGCCAGCCATTTTAAATGGAATTACAATTTTTTTTGTCAGTATACAGTGCAATCACTAACGCCGGGACTCGAAAATATGCAATTTAAAAAAAATTTGGTACGACTGGGGTGGTCGTATGTCCGGGTGGTCGTAAGTCGAGTAGGTCGTAAGTCGAGGAGTGGCTGTGTTTGCCAACTAGACATAATCCTGACAGCTCTGTCCTCTTGTTCAACCTTACTACTCTACAACCCATGTTGTACTGCTCCCCCATTATACTTATGTTCTTCAATTTCACTGTAAAAAAAAAATTATATATATATATATATATATATATATATATATATATATATATATATATATATATATATATATATATATATATATATATATATATATATATATATATATATATATATATATATATATATATATATATATATATATATATATATATATATATATATATATATATATATATACAGTGACCCCTCGTTTAACGAACACCTCGGTTAACGTAATTTCGATTAACGAACTGCCTTCCATAAGGATCTTCAATTCGGTTAACGAAAAAAAATTTGTTTAACGAAGTTCTTACGAACCGACCTCAACATGTTTTCGCTTGCAATGACCGGGCAACCAGCTTTAGTATCAGTCCACCAATACATTAATCGGTTCTAGGGCTTAAATTCCTTACTATTTTAGTAAATATCAAGAAGTTTATACTACTTGTATTCAATAATTTTAAAAGTTAAATATTCAATTTTTTTGTCATTTTAACAATTATTGAACATAACTGAAGGTAAAGTGACTAGTTTAATGCGCGGCATCCAGCCTCTTAACACAGCAAACAGGAATTAGTCTCTCTCTGTTTTCACTGGAGGTAACATCTTGCTTGAGACTCTCTTCAACTAAATGCTTTTTTTCTGTGTTTCCAAGCAAATTATTGGTCATTTTGAAATATATTTTACATATTGACAATATATAATGCAGTGCAGTGTTGATTTAAAGAAAATAATCTTGAATTACACCAAGAGAGCTAAAATTTTATGGGTGAAATGGCGCCATGGGGTGACTTCTCTTCCACCCCCAATGCCTTCTCATTTTCCTTCTCCTCCATCCCCATTCTAAATCCCATCATCATCATCATCATCATCCAGGAACCTTCTACATACACACCTCAAAGTAAGTGAACTTTTCTACCATTTTTGTTGAATTTAGGAAATTTTCGGTGAGCTGGAACCAATTACCCAAAAACCCATTGAAACAATGGTTTCGGTTAACGAACCTTTCGGTTAACGAACGACCTTCTGGAACGGATTGAGTTCGTTAACGGAGGGGTCACTGTATATATATATATATATTATATTATATTATATTATATTATATTAATAATAACAATAATAATAATAATAATAATAAATAAATAAATATTGAGGTGATAACCGTGGTTAAATTATGAGATGTTCTAATTATCACCATGTTATTGTACTATTCCGGATGATACTAAATGTTACATTATATTTCCTTGAGATAAATGTATAGTATATATCAGGTGCAGCTCAGGTTCTCAACTGGCTCAGCCATGTTAATATTGTTATCATTATCTACTCTGTATCTGTGTTTTTCTGGCTAATAAACTGTTTCACTTCAATTCAATGACCACCTCTAGTGGGTGGCCATTAGGTTAATTTGAGTCAAGTTTAAGCAATAACTAATCTTGTCATTTGTTTTTTATACCTGATGTTACACAACTGCTTGTATACTTAACACTAACACTTTTACACTAAAACACATTCAAATATTTATGCAAAACACACACACACACACACACACTTTTAAACAAACACAAGTGCATATAAACACACACACTCTCTTTTATAAACATTTACATAAATGCACACTTTCAAAGGAATACACTCTTGTGTATTTTTAATCTAGATTCTTAAACAGCATATAAAAGAGCATCTTTGAATGAAATTTAAACAAAATCTATGCCATGCCCTCATGTACTCAAACACAAGATAAGGGGTCAGCAATTTTGATTGGGAATACTGTTACTGGATGTTTTCTTTTCTGGAAAGTGAACGATAAAATGCTTAAGTTATAAAGTTAGCCGATATTCTTGAGAAAAGGCATATAAAGAGGATTTATAATTTACGGGCACAGAGTAATTTATGTTTTAAATACTACAGTACTGTACAGTACATGAACACAAGCATTAGACAACATGATGTTAAGTAACAGAATACCTGTACAAGTCTCACCTCCCACAGGTCAGAGGTGTTTCATCAGTTGCTGTTGATGGCATCACATACAAGTGTGTCCCACAGGTCAGAGGTGTTTCATCAGTTTGTATAGTCGAGTCTTAGCTTGTCATACCGAGATGTGTTGTTGGTCCTTGAAACTTCCTGGAAATAAGATAAATAACTATACGTACTGTATAATACACAACACTGCACTGTAAAACTATTATATTATAGACAGGGGTTATTTGACCAGCATCCGGCTTAATAACCACGGGTTATTTGACTGGGATTTAAAATAAAACGGTACTTTTGGCCACAGAAAATTATAATATTTTTACTACAATGTACAGTATTGTGTCGGCAATAGCCAAAAAAGGGTAGTCTGGCGGTCGGCCCAGTCTCTATTTCAATTAATCCCATATGTTCTGGTATTATATTTACGCGTTTCGCTTTATACGCGGACCTCCACGGGTTTAATTAACAGCGTAAAACCAGACTATACTTTTACTTTTACTTTTATCCTCTTCGCCACTGATCGGCTTGTTAGGCGCTTGGGCGATCGGTCACGTCTCTTTTCCTTTATATTCTTCACCAAAAGGTCGGCTCGCTAGCCGCCCGGGCGATCGGTCACGTCTCTGTCACGCACTGTTGGCAAATACTGGGCATGCACCGGCTCCTGAATGTACCTGAACCCGCTCCAGTGTTGGTCAAGTCTTCTCTTGAAAGAGCTCACACTCAGTGCCGTCACAACACTTTCTGGTAGATTGTTCCAAGAGTTTACAACCCTCACTCCGAAAAAGTTTGCCCTCACGGTTTTCTGGACTTGCGGCTTCTTCAATCTTGAGCTGTGACCCCTTGTGGGGCGAGCGTCCGCCAGCTCCAATTAAGGACACTCAACTGAGTAGTGCCCCCTGAGATGCTTATAAACCTCAACTAGGTCCCCCCTTGCCCGTCTGTAGTATAAGCTAGGCAAGTTCTATTGTATATATTTTTTCTCTATCTATGATCATAAATTGCCAATAGTAGGCAGGGCATGAAAGATGAGTAAAAGCCCATGCACTGTTACAAGATAACCCCTTAAATCAAGTTACTTCAAATGTTCACAACCAAAGCATCAGCAGGTGTTCAGTTTTCTGGGTTAGGCAGTATAGTACTGCCACTAAGGCAACAATGAAGAACAGATTTCATAGACAGCCATGGTCAGCTATACAAGAGGAGGAAGGGTGTGATTATACATTCCTGTGCAGAAACTAGAGTCTTGTAAATATTTATGACTTCTGTGTCAATTATTTTGATAAATGTTTAGACCAGTTAGTAACAGAGAGCGTTCACAGTCTACAGCACCAAAATCAATTCCAAGAAGTTCTTCTAAAAGTAAAAAAAATTATTAACAACTTCAACTGTCAGGGCTGAAATGGACAGATACCTGACATTACAGTTGATGGAATCCTTTAGACGAGTTGAAAACCATTAAGAACACATTTGCAATATTCCTTACAAACAAACATCTTTCTTCTCCACCTTCATCAGTGGAAAGTGAAATATTATTTATCAATGATGGTGGTAATGTATACACTCCACATGCTAACACTGGCAAGACATTCAAGTTTGTAAAATACAATATGATTATTTTCAACTTTGGTAACTGAATAGTTATGTCATTCAAGTTCTTGTAATTGTTTGAAATATTTAATTCCAACCTAGGCTTGTGTGTTGAAAGGTCCAAGAAAATGTAGCTGTGTAATCATATTAAAAGCTACTGGTAGTCCACTACTGTACAGTATATTGCATTCTTCAATAATTAGCCAACATGGAATACAGTCTCTCCCCGACTTACGACGGGATTAAGGACCCAATTCCAGGTCTTAAGTGAAATTAGTCAGAAGTAGAAAATGCAAAAATAATGAATAGAAAATCTAAAATGGGTCTCTTTTTGTTCTCAGCACCAGAAAACTCTCACTTTTAAGCATGCCAGCCATTTAAATGGAATTACAAACGACAATTTTGTCAGTACACAGCGCAATCACTAACGTTGGGACTCGAAAATACGTAATTTGAAAAATTTTTGGTACGACTGGGGCGGTCGTATGTCCGGGTGGTCGTAAGTCGGGTAGGTCGTAAGTCGAGGAGTGGCTGTACTCAGATAATAATTACTGTACCTATATGTGTGTAGTTTAATAATTTATGAATTGATTTATGCATAAATTAATGTTGCGAGCTGATTTATAATGAATAAAGTTAGTGTTCGCTTGTATAACTGGTTTTATTTTCAAATGGTTTCATTACACAACTTACTCTATGAACCTGACAACAGGCCGGCAAATAACTTGAGAGTTGATAAACAACAACCCGCAAAAGACGCCACAAATAAATCAAGTACAAGAACATACACCTCACTTATTAAACAATACTACTTGAAAGAAATTGGAAATGTATCAAAACCCACATTACGGGATTCCATTCCAACAATATGATTCTCATCATGTATACTGTTCACAGAATAGGTTTAAGATCCTATTGTACCTAAAGAACAAAAAGGATTTACACAGACAATAGGCTCATGAATCTGGACAGTGATGTTTATAAGAACATGTGTTTGGAAGACTGTTGATGGCCAAATAACCATCAGCTATTTGACCATGCCAGCTGGCCAAATAACTATCGGTTATTTGACTGGGACCAGCTTGGATTGTTCATAATATTACTATTACACCCACCTCTCGTTTTACGCAGGGGTTACGTTCTTGAAAACCACCGCTTAATTAAAAAATGCGTAAATTTAAAAAAATTTCCCCATAAGAATAGTAAATGGTACAAGTTAGGAGAACCATCATATACCGCACAGGGTAAAAACAGTGCTCTCACTTAAACCAAGCACGCGGCCAACTTCTGACACGCTCTCCACTCTGAAGGCTGGTGATCACAATTAATTTCACGTCCATTGCGATTGTTTTTCGTGCCTTTCTAGCTTAAGGCACCCCAGAGGAGACAGATGAACGTTTTCCAGACATGTTCAATGGGGAAAACAGCGTTTAAAACTAAAAACGTACGTGATAAACACACAATACAGAAAAAATGTAGTGTTGGTGTGAACTGTGAAAGTGATATGCGCGAAACTTGCTGGACTAGTCATTACACTATTATTTAAACGTTGAGTATTTATCACTATCTTCTTTAATTATCTTCTGATACTCCGAAATTTCCCGCCTCTCTCATAGACATATAATAATGTAGGTCGGGTTGGGTTAGGTAAGGTCAGATCACATATTTTTTTAGGCCTATACAGCACCATAACTGTTTTACTTTGAGGTGTTGGTTTTCTTAACAAATTGATTTATAATTTAACCTCATCTTACCTTCCTTGTATCCTTAATTTTGTATGTAGTATCATTACAGTATTATTTCTATTTGATCGATCTCTGTTTTATAACAGTTTGAAATTGACAATAAATTATTATGTAGAATTTTCCGAGACCAGAAGTACTTAGTATTATTTCAGAACCCTTCGAGACATTTGGTCATGTATGAGAACACCGCTGCCACCAGAAGGAGTTGTTCAGTTTTTCCACAGATGTTCTTATCACTATAGTACGTAGGTAAAACTTCAGTTTGTCATCCCTATGTTTTTCTGAGAGTTTTGTTTTTCTGAGAGTTTTGAAGTGTTTTGAATGATTTTGATCTCACCTAACCTAACCAAATAACCCAGGAACTATATCTTACCTAACCTAAATTCCTAAGACGACAAAATCTTAAATAATACCAGTACGTATTTTAAAAGAGGCGACATTTACTAGAACCTAATAGAACGTGACCTAACCGACCAAAGATACCTACCTAACCTTATCTGACTGCCTGGCTGGCCCCCACCGCCATATTAAACAAGGTACAGTTCTTATTTTATATCTGCTACCACTGAAAATATCATTGTTGAAACATCATGGTGAATTTTATATTTTTTGAGGATGTGAGCGTATACTTCAACTGAGCGGGTCGGCTGTAAACAGAGGCACACAGTGACTCAGCAGATTTGTTCGGAATATGAATTACAGTAAATAATTAATTCCCTCATGTACAAAGCACCTAGAGATATTATAGTGTCATATGATCAGTTTTATACCGTGTTTTACCCCACAATTCACCTCGTCCTTTACACCCTGCCCACGACAGGTGCTATATGATTATAGATAATAAAAAAATAAATAAATAAATACAAAAATACTGTAAAAATTTAATTTATCCATAATGTCAGAAATACCTATTGGGATAAAAACGAATATTAACCAAAAAACTTATAATTAAAATAAAAAGTTTTTGTCTCCTTTAAAATACTATCATAATAACATCTGTGGCAGCGGTGTTCTCATAAATTACCAGATATTTTTTCAACGATACTTATAATTTATTAGTTATTTAAATTATATTAGTAATATCAATCGGTAAATCCAAACGTACACATTAGATCACACACAAACATATTAAATAATTATTCATATGGTATAATAAAGCAGATGCAATACATATCAAAATTATACATAAACCACAGTAAAACAGTTAATGGCTATATGACCGGTTAGCAGTCAAACAGCCCCTGCCTACTGTTAACCCCCCCCCCATATAAGGCTCTCTATCTTACACCACCATAATCCCTGGCCATAACTCCACCATATTAATACACAGTTAAATCCTGACAATACAATATTACAGCAATACAAAACCAAATTTCCTCAAGACACATTCGCCATGTTTACAAGCGAGTGTAAAGACTGAAATTTATATATGAAATTACCTAAAGTGATTAAATTACACTAAAATATAAATAATTATCATAAATGGTATATATTTTGTTGTTTATTTACATATATGGATATTAAAGAAGGAAGAATATCAAAGGAAATGTTGAAATAACTTCTCACCTCCGTCCACGCCGCCATTGTGTTAGCTGCTGGCTGACTTGGGAAGACGTCCGACAAAACAAAAAATGCTGAAGAATTACCACGAACAAAACCGCTAAATAGTTTTTTTTCTTGCTTGAACATAGATGATATTAACCAATAAAACCATATTTAATGTACTTAAAAACTCTTTTACGATCATTAAATTAGTTTTAATTAGTATAAAATAATTTTACTTGTGTCTTACGAAGAAAAATAGATGATACAGAAATAATGTTCGTAGTATAATTTTAACATTATGACTAATATGATTCTATACCTTCGCTTCAATTTCACCTATTCTTCAACTACTCAAAAAACACCTCTAACACCTGTATTTTAATAAAGTATTGCTGTATTACCTTGATGAAAACAACAAATTCCAGAAGTAATAACATAACTGGGTCATCAGGCCAAATTCTTTTACTCACAACCTGTCCTTTTAAACTTGGTGTTGTCTTCGAGGGATTTAATTGTACTCATAATGATTCCAGGTGACTCATAGGAAAGCCTGAGGAAATCCCCTAGGAAAGTCCCAAAGAAACCCCCCAGGAATGCCCCGAAGAAAGCCCCAGGAAAGCCCCGAGGAGAGCCCCAAGATAGCCCTGATGAAAGCCCCGAGGAAAGTGCCAGGAACTCCCCCGAAAAGCCCCGAGGAGAGCTCCAGGAAAGCCCCAAAGAAAACTCCAGGAATGCCCCGAGGAAAGCCCCGAGGAAAGCCCCGAGAAAAGACCCAAGAAAGACCCGAAGAAAGCCCAGGAAAACCCGAAGAGCCCCGGGGAAAGCCACAGGAATGCCCTGAAGAAAGCTCCAGGAAAGCCCCGAGAAAGCCACCAAGAAAGGTCCAGAAATGCCCCGAAGAGACTCAGGAATTCCCGAGGAAAACCTGAAGAGAGCCCTGAGGAAAGCCGTAGGAAATGCCCACAAATGCCCCGAGGAAAGTCCCCCAAAAGCCCCCAGGAAAGTCCAAAGGAAAGTCCCAGTAAAGCCCCAGAAAACCCCCAGGAAAGCCCAGAGGAAAGCCCCAAGAAAGCCCTGATGAAAGGCACGGATGTTATAAAGAAATGAACGTGTGTAATAAAGTACAGTAATGTACTTTTGATATAAGCAAGAGAAACGGATTGAGATCTTAGTTTAATTATTGATACAATTTCGTTATTACAAGTATTATTCAAATAAATAAAAGTCGTTTTAAGAGAATAACTAATTGCATTTCACCTAGAATTATATGAATTATCAGAAAATTTCTTACATTTCATTCAAGAACTAATTACTGTAGATAATTAGGATAACCAAGGAACTAAATTTGTAAATAAATGATGAAAACAAATAAGAATAAAAAGAATTACAACAACAACTATGTGAATTAGAGAAAAATAAATGAAGAAACGAGTGAATGGTAGGTGTATAAAAGTGTATGAAGGATAAACAGATAATGAAACAGCTTTTGGAAGGAGAATGAAGAGATACAAAAAAACATTAATACACCTCAAAGGGATGAAGTGACATAAGTCATCCTCACCCCAGTCCAGGAATGTCCCTCTCAGGACTCACATAAATCCCTAATATTTCATATAATTAGTTATAATACATAGTTATATTCTAGATGCAAAATTTCTATATTTCTTTAATATTTCATCTATTTTCCCATTTCCAAACATCCACTCTATTTGCATGGGGACATTATTTATATGGGCATTTCTATATACATTAAGCAATGGGCATTCCAGTATATAATGTGGCAGGGTATGGGATCTGGATGTTCTACAAACTCTACATTCTTTATCCTGTTCACTTCTCTCAGCTCCAAGTTCCCAATAATATTTATATCCTAATCTTAACCTCATATACACCGAATCTTTCCACCTACTCCTATCTTTCCCATATGTAAATTTTGTGTTCATGAGAACATGATGGTAATGTTTCATTGTTTCACTTTTCTCGTATATTTCATTCCTTTTGAAATTATCTTCTATTGATTGTATTTTCCGTAATTTGCTCCTTAATTGCTTCAAGGTTTTAGTACATACTATGTCGATCTCGGCCTTTTCCGTGGCTCTTTTTGCTATTATATCTACTACTTCATTAAGACCAATCCCCACATGTGAAGGGACCCATACAAATTGAACATTATGGCCATTTTTCCTTATTGTATTTACTAATTTTCTACATGAACCAATAATGTGTCCAAAGACTGGACTCCCACTGTTCAAAGAATCCAAAGCTGCCCTACTATCAACAAAAAAATATGCATCTTTATACCTCTTTACAACATTTTCCAATCCTACTAACATTGCATATAACTCAGCTTGTGTTGATGAAATAAAACTGCTCAACCGAAGTCATCATTTCCTTGTTCTGTGTACTGTCTTATAAGGATCCCGCACCCAGCCCTGCTACTTGACATAACTGAACCGTCACAATATAGGCTACATGCAATGTGTTTATTTTAGGCAAATTACTAATCTTATTCCCATATAAAGTCCTTAACTGTCCTGGTTCATGTAATGATTTCTTCATTGTGAGAGGCACTATGTCTAACTCTACTTCTCGTTCTTCCCAGGGTGGATTCTTACAACTCTTCTGAACAGCTGTACACCAGTCTGCCAGATTACATTTTTTAATAATATTTACTAATCCATTCATGTATCCTCTCTTGCCTTGCCTGCAGAAGGTCCTTTTATCTTTTAAACCATCATTTATATCTTGTACAAATTTACTCCCACTGTTCCCTCTCATTAATCGAACTGCTGCAACTGTATTAATTTCATTGACCCTCTGTGAAATGCTCTGTAACCCTAGTTCCATTTTCATTATCTCAATCATTGCATTCTTTTGACACCCTAAAATTATTCTCATTGCTTCATTTTGCATGATCTCAAGCTTCCGTAGCCTTCCTTCACCAGTACAAGAGAGGACAGGTGCTGCATAGTCTATAAGTGATCTGATGGTAGAAATATACATCATTCTCAGTATGGGTACCCCAGCACCTTTACCACAACATGCTAGAGCCTTCAAGGGCTGTAATCTTGCTCTACATTGAGTGAGGACATGATATATTTCTGCCTCTTTACTTTCACTAGTAAAGCCAATATACATTCCTAAATATTTATACTTTGACACTTTCTCAACAATTTTTCCATCTAGAAAAACGGATTCAGTTCCTCTTCCTTTACATTCACACTTGGTTTTTTCTTCATTGATAACTAAGCCCATCTTTTGAGAAAGAGCACTAAAATTATTTAACGCAATCTGCAAATTTTTTACAGAGTTTCCTTGAAATAAGATGTCATCTGCATAAATGATGGTTACAACTCCTTTGGGATATTTGTGTGAGGCTATCTTGTTCATTAACACATTAAATAACATTGGACTCAATACCCCCCTTTGGGGAGTGCCTAGTTCAAGTGCTCTTTCCTCAGACAAACATCCCTGATACCATACACAGATTCTCCTTCCATGCAAGTAGTCACCTATCCAGTGTAACAACTTTCCTGATACCCCTAGAGCAGCCAGTTCATTCATAACTACTTCACTGTGAGCTTTATCAAATGCTCCTTGTAAATCCTCAAAAACTCTACATCTGTCTGCATCATTTGATAAACATTTTATAACACAGTCTGAAGTACATTTCCCTTCCAAAAAACCAAATAAATTACAAGATAGATTTTCCCCCACAATATATACAAGCCTATTTAATAATACTCTCTCCATCATCTTGGAAAACAAGATGTTAAAGACACTGGCCTGTATCCACCAGTTGCCTTAGGGACAGGAATAACTATCGCTTTCTTCCATTCTGTTGGTAATCTACCCTCTGTATAGCTCATGTTGAATAAATCTAATAATGGACTATTTTCCATACCAACTAAGCAGTTCAAAATTTCATAAGTCACACCATCTTCGCCTGGTGCTGTAGATTTTCCTTTTTAACAGCATTTAATAACTCATCTTGAGTAATATCTACACATGTTACATCACAAATATTTAGAGCTGATGAAATAAATCTTTTTCTTTCATTTTGCCACTCATCTAATGCTTCTATTGTCCTGTTAGGCAGGGAGGCAACACTAGCTGCTTTAGCCCATTTGTCAACCAGTTTATTAGCTTCTTCCTCTGGATGAGGATGGCTAATAAAATTACTCCTTTTTCCTCTAATTTTGTTAATATCCTGCCATATTTCTTTGAGATTTTTACTCTCCCCAATGTGCAGTGCAAAGTCTTGCCAATATTTCTCCCTTGCCTCCTTCCTAGCCTGCCCACATATTTTGGCTATATCCATGAAGATTTCCCGATCTTCTTCTCTTCTACCATTCTTTACCCAATCTTTATGTGCTGCCCTTAACATTTGTGTCCATCCCTTCAACATTTTGTCATTGGTATAGCAGTGTTTCCTAGCCCCATGTGTCTTATCATTTATTTTTTTCTGTGTTGACTTAGTTAAATATCTTTCTATCTCCCCAACTAAGTCATTATAAAAGCTATCCATACAGACTGGTGTATAATTTCTGCACCATTTCTCTATTTTGGGTAAACACTTCTGTGTCATCCTTGTTTAGTTTCAATCTCTTCCTCCTATATCTCACCTGTCTCTTCCCTAATGGTAATTGAACATACACAACAAAATGGTCACTGACTAGCTCCCTTATTATCTCACATTCTCCCTGGACTCCATGACTGCATATCATGCAAGCATAGTCTAACCTTCCTCCTTTAATATGAGTCACTTCCTTATTTCCTAACAAGTAAGCATCTGGGTGATCTTGTAAAAATTGCCAAAATTTTATACCATTACTATTAATTCTCCCCATTGTTTCGAGTCTTGGATGTCGAGCATTAAAATCTCCTACAGCCAAAGTTGAGTCCAAAAACATGCAATCTGGTAAGAAGTTGAGGTCAAAACAGCCTCCAGAAATATACAAATTTGCTATGTTCAATTCTCCTTCCTTCAAATATAACTTTATACAGACACTTTCTATTCCTTGTACTCTACTCGGGCTTCCAACTAGTTCTGCTGGTATGGAATTCTTAATGTATGTTGAGACCCCTCTTATACCTTCACCCGAATAGAGATGAAATCCCTTATATCCAGACAGTTTAAACAGGTCGCCTTTCCTGTCCCCAGTCTCTTGAAG